GCTACGCAACCCAAGGTCAAACTGATGTGATCAGTAAATACATCTTTTTAAACGCCACAACTTTTATCTGAAACATTTTTTTCTAAAATGCTTAGTTTTCGAGATATTTCACCGGTCCGGGACTTTTTGAACACCCTGTATAGAAGATTCCGTATGAATTCAAAATATACCGAAAATATCATGTGCTATCTGGGGATCGTATTTCGTAATTTATAATATGGCTTTCCTTCAATAAATCAATGACAAACGTTACTATATCTCTTTTGTTCCATATCAGCACGATCCCGAACAATGTACGCCGGGTGGCGAGGATGGTAATTTTATAATGTTCGCTCGTGCTACTAGCGGTGACAAGCGCAACAATAACCGCTTCAGTCCATGTAGTCTAAACGCCATAAATCCTGTGCTGAATAGCAAGGCGCGCTCACCGAAAGGGTGCTTTACTGGTTAGTTATTATTTATAGTATGTATACGATATATTGTTAGATAGTGCACGGCGAAATATCGAATACTCTTTATCTATTTTTTTAATTACTGTGCTATGTTTCACTTTTTCCCCGCGACGATAATTATATTGTTTATAGATCCAAAAGTGTCACTGTGTGGTAACGGTGTTGTGGAGGAGGGGGAGGAATGCGACTGCGGCTGGGAAGAAGATTGCAAGGACACGTGCTGCTTCCCTCAACGTCGTTATCAGTTGGCTGGGGAGACCCCCTGCAAGCTCACTCCAGGCTCTGTGTGCAGTCCTAGTCAAGTATGTATAGCATTCAACAAAAAAAAAAGAAGACATCTCTTATCATACTTGTCCAGTAAGTTTAAGAGCAATCTCCCTCTCAAAAAATTATAACATTTATTAACTTGTGCTTTTTTATTTCGAATATTAAATATATTTTAACATAGTTGAATTTATACACATTCTCAACAAAATATATAATAGTTGCGTTTGCGTAGCTGAATACTCATTCCTAAAATAAATACATGATTTTTACAGTTATAAATGGTATCACATCACAAACATGTATTTTAACGTTATAAGTTTGTCCTTTTTGAGATCAAAGGATTTAACTACATTTCCTTAAGATGGACAAGTATGTAAGTTTTATATTTTTATTGAAAAGAAATTTAATTCACAGAATAGATTATTAATAACTTAAAATAATATTCAATTTTATCTATAAGAAGATGAAACGAACTGCAAACTCAATTTCCGAATGAATCGTAGCTCGTTTGATGGCCGTAATATAGAGCGTAAAACATTATATGAGTCGGGTTAATAGTTTTTGTTTACAAGAGATTGCAATGCAGACTCACAGAATCCTAATTCCATACATAACACTCCCTTTCATCGAGGTGGCGTAAATGCATGGACTAAGATTCCCGCGCCAATGTTTTTTGTGTTAGCGGTGACCATTCGGGCCCGGCCGACGAATTATCTACTTCATGCTTTTTTTTATGTTGCATACTGTAAGACATTTAATTACAATTGCATTATATAGATTTTGAATTTATGTATTGATTTCATTGTTATATGAGGAATTAGAGCAATTTTAGGTGTCGGTAATGTAATATAATAATGGCAACATAACATGTGCAGTCATTATAGACATAATATGTTGTATGTTTTGCACTCTGCATAATATGTACAGTATTAGGAATTTCTAAAGAAATAGAATATTACATAGTAAAAGATACAGATGTTGCTTATAAAGATATACCCATATCAATCAGAGTGCACCGAACGAAGACTAAGAATTGCCAAAGAAAGTTATTGCTTACAATGCAGTGTCTTTTGATATGAAATTGAAAATTTCACATGTCCTATTATGTTCCGTGTTCTCCTACTTATTTACTCATTCCTCTACTCTTTTATTTATCTATTCATTCTTAATTTCTATCTAATCAATTTAACCTATCTAACCCCTCTAAATTTTAATTCTATTTACTTATAAACTTTATGATCTTATCTTATAATTTTATACTCTACTCTTATACTCTATATCATCTTTCTCTTCTTATCTTAACTAACTCTAACTATATCCATACTATATCAAATCACCTTTTTATCAGAGTTCTATTATTTCTCACTTTTCTTCTTCTTTCTGCTTTTGCTTTTCATTTTCTTTTCCTTTTCCACCCATAACTTCCTCAGAATAACTTCTTTTTTTTGTTTAACGTGTTATCCTAAATTTTTTTTATTCTTTCCTTCTTATTCTTTCTTAAATCCTCAAAATATTTGCAATTTTACATTCTGTCACCAAGTATCTTATATTGGCCGCGTTCTGTGTACAATCTCATTCTCAATACTTTTATATATAACTTATATCCTATACAAAATAATGAAATTTCCTTATAATTTTCTATTTTTTCCCTGACCTTCTTCTTTATAACCACCACGTTTCTCTTCTAATCTTCTATCTCTCCTTTCTTCCAAATTTGTTTTACCAGGTTCATTAGTTCTTTACTTATCGTACTTCCTCCATATATCCAGATATCCATTGGTATACCGTCAATCCCTGCTAACATGTCTTTCTTCATCCTTCTCATCACAATTTCCTCTTCCTTTATCATTTCTTTCTCCTTTTCATGTCTACTTTTTACCTTCACTATTTCCTCCTCCTGTTTTTTTCTCTGTTTTATTCTTCTTTCTTCATTCTTTCCTTCTAATAAATTCATGAAGTGGATTTTCCATTCTTCCCTAATTATTCATTTTTTTTCTCTTCTCCTTCTTTTCTTATTTATATATTTCCGTAGCCCCGATTCATTCCTTATGTTTCTTAATGCCTTAAGTTTATTTTCTATTCTCTCTTCTTTGTCTCTTCTTTTGTCTCTTCTTTGGTAGCTCTTTCCATTTATATTCTTTATCTCTAAATAACCTCTAAATAACTTTCTCCATTCTTCTACCTTTTCTTCGATTTTATAAGTACTCTCTTCACATTCTTCTTTTCTCTAGTACATCTCCTGTCCCATCAATTCTTATATCCTAATTTTTTTTTCCTAATTTTCATTTTTTTATCATTATCTCTAAGATTATTTTCTTCAATTTCTTTCATTTCTTCTTAATATCTCCTTTCTCTTGACTTTCCCATCAACTGTATTTCTCTGTGTTTTTTTTATACTTTTTTCTCAACTCCTCGTCTCAACATATTCTTCTTCTTTTGTCTATTTTGTCTTCTTCCTTACCATCTTCTTCCTCTTAATCTTTTACTTTTAAAATTACCGAATATTGGTCCAATTTTATCTTATCTTCTATATATATATATATATATATATATATATATATATATATATATATATATATAT